GTATAAATATTTTTATTAATTTTTTGCTTGGGACCTTTGTAATTATTAAAAAATACCATGGGACCTTTGATGTTATCCATAAAACAGGACCAAACCATTACTGAGACTCTTCCATTTCTAAAATTTGGTTGCAAACACTCATGTTTGTATCTCTCATCTGTGCAACACCATACACGAACTTGACGAGATTGTTTACCTACTTCTATACTCATTTCATCTAAAAAAATGATATATCTCTAATAGTAAGCATCCTTATTTTTATTTTGACTACACCATTCCATATGTCCTTCTATATTGCTACTTGACAAAAAAGGTTTCAAGCCAGCAACGCGAGAACGAAGTCCAATGTTGTTTAAGGTCCTAGCTACAGTCTGCATACTGCATTGAAGGTTTAAATTCTTTACAATTTTGAGCAGTGGCACATGTCTTTCCTTCAATGCTTTTTTTACTATAACAGTCTTTTCTTGCTTCTTTAGGACGGGAGGACGTCCGGACCAAGGTAAATTCTTGATTTTTTTGATCCTTCTGTATTTCTGTAAAAACCTTTGAACTGTTGTTGGGTTACGCTTAATCTTGTGAGCAACTTGTTCAGTGCTCATTATCTTGATATAAGCAAGGATCATTCCTTTCTCTTTTTCTGTCATTTGTTTGCGTAGCATTTTCATAAAAAAAAAAATTTTTTTTGCATGTGCTTGGTTCCTTCGACGTCAAGGAAGCAAAAAATAAAAAAAAATTTGCCCCAAAATTCGTAAGAATGGGGTACGCACAGCCCTTTTATTTGCTCACGTGTGACGATCTGCAAATCGGGCGTTACTTTTGTTGGCTACTGTACGTACGTATGTTCATTATATGAGCCACGTGCTGTGCTTAATTGACATAAGCAAATATTTATTCATTTACATGGTTTAGCTTTTGTCAGAATCCAAACTTTGCCAAGAACGTTGACCTCGCCAGGAGTTTGCCTTTCGCTGGGGTTTCGTCTTTCGTCATTTCCCAAAAACAGTTTCGTCTAACAACTATAGTTAGACCCATACTAAACCCCTTAACTATACGCAAACGATACCTGCACGAATGTTACACGAATATGCAATGCTCGGAATTTGTGAAAACAGTCTCATTTTTTTTAATAACTGATATGGTAAAAAGATATTGTTACTATTGTAAATCGGGAGAGCGGGTAACGTGATACTGGGTATAATTGTCTAATTACTATTAAAGGGAGTGCTATCGTTAGGATTCTATACTCAATTTGTGTAGGTCTATAGTAATTGATCGGAAGGGGTGATAGTTTGCAGGTTATCGGGATTGATTTAATTAAGAGTGGCGTGAATCTTAAAGATATTTTTAAGAATGATTTATATAGTAAATAATTAATTTAATCACTAAGTAACTGATTGATCTAATTAAAATTCCTCTATGCGGTCCTTTGTACGTGTATTACACTATAGGAACTATATAACTATATAAGATATGGCTCCTATTTATTCAGGGAAAGGTCTATTCAGCCTCAATGCTTACTTCCTTTATGTTAAATAAGAGACCCAGCGTATATTTATATACAAGGATAATGTAGCGTAATAGGGAAACGATACTGAGTAGACGAAGTTTAGATAAATTAATGTGAGATGTTTTAGAGACAGTATCGTATTTTATTTGTCTTTAAGATTTTATTCTTAACTTAATTCGCAACTGGTCCTTTTGGAAAGGCGAAAAGAACCTATATTTGTACAATTCTATTCGCGAACGCTATACTAAGTAATTATATAAAGGCGTTTGAGATCTTTATGAGCAGTCGCTTACTTCTTCGTGAACAGTTGCCACATCCATACTATGGTAGCACGAAGCCACACTGCTCATAGTACTAATTTTTATGGCTTATTCAAATATTCGGCTTGGCGTTAGCCCCAACTGCGCATCTTAATGTTTATCTATTATTACTACCACGGTTCTTAAACGTAAACAAGGGCATGAGCAGGATGAATTAAAAATAAATAACTATATACAGGCATAATAAAAAGATAATATAATAATAAATAAATAATATAATTAAATAAAATAAAAGAAATAAAGAAGAAAACTCGGGATTTGGAACTAATCTACAAGCTAACAATATCGATATGGCAAATTTTCAGCTTCAGCCACCTCAATTAGCACAGCCAATCAGTTCTTGGGAAGAAATCAGAAATCCGGTTTTTTCTTGGCGGTATTAATATAAAGCACTTCATCCCGAATCACCTGACTATTGTAATTATTACAGCCACATGATGCATCGATCAAACTAATGAAACTAACATAATAACGATAATGCAACAAACTTATCTTTATTATATGCCATAAAAATTTATTTTAAAAATCGATATTATATATATATAAATTATCAACTGATTATAGTCAAATAATTTAACTCATGATAATATGACTGTCGTAGTGTTACAAACTCAAAAAATTTCGCCAAAAAAATTTCGCCGTAAGATAAAGTTATGTTTTGCTATTAAGTTAGGTTAGGAAGAGCTTTAGTAGCACCAAAATTTCGCAAGGAAAATTTCTGACCGATTTTTGTTTTTTTACTGCGTCACGCCTGATCACAAAATCCGATTGCCCAGCGAAATTTTTTAGATAGCTAATATTACTGTTATAAATTTAGAGTAGTACAAGCAATCACAGCCAAGTATAGAAAAAAATTATTATCTTCTATAACATGCACATTTATGCGCATTTTCCCCATCTTTAGTTACAAACGTATAGATAATTTATTTGTATCGCAATACGATCAAATGAGGTACTGTTATGTTGAATATTTTATAATTGCATAGTAACCTCGTTAATGCATCAAAATTTAGGCTAAACTCAAATAGGATTAGAAGCCTACCGCAAAATACAAACAATTTTTTATATTAATATGGGCTAATTAATAACAGGTAAAAATTTTACTTGATACAATACTATTATTGAACATGAGCCTTACAGGCGCTGATCTCCGAGAACTTGGACTGAAATATCAAAGTGGCATTGGAGTCGAGAAGGACGAGCATAAAGCTTTTGAATATTATAAACAATCTGCAGATATGGGATATGGAATGGCGACTAACGATGTTGGAGATTGTTATAAAAACGGAGTTGGAGTAGAAAAGGATGAACATAATGCATTCATTTATTATCAAAAATCAGCAGAGATGGGGGACGCTAAAGGAATATATAATGTTGGATATTGTTATCAATATGGAATTGGAGTTGAAAAAGACAAACATAAGGCATTCATATATTATCAAAAATCTGCAGAGTTAGGCGATGCTGAAGGAACATATATGGTTGGATCTTGTTATGAAGAAGGAATTGGTGTTGAAGAAGACGAAAATAAGGCATTCATTTATTACCAAAAGTCGGCAGAGATGGGGCATGTTAGGGGTATATATGATGTTGGAAGTTATTATGAAGATGGGATCGGAGTTGAAAAGGATGAACATAAGGCATTCATTTATTATCAAAAATCTGCAGATATGGGGGATGTCGAAGGAATGTACATGGTTGGATGTTGTTATAAAGACGGAATTGGTATTGAAAAGGATGAAAATAAGGCATTCATTTATTATCAAAAATCAGCAGAGATGGGGGATTCTGCTGCAATAAATAGTCTTGGCGAATGTTATGAAGATGGAATTGGAGTTGAACCGGATGAACAGAAGGCATTCACTTATTACCAAAAGTCAGCAGAGATGGGGGATGCTGAAGGGACATGTAATGTTGGTTATTGTTATTTTAATGGATGCGGAGTTGAAGAGGATAACCAAAAATCATTAGCTTATTATCAAAAATCTGCGGAGATGGGAAGCCTTGGTGGAATATATATGGTTGGATATTTTTATCTCAATGGAATTGAAGTCCAAATAGATGAACGTAATGCATTTTTTTATTTCAAAAAATCAGCAGATATGGGGGACGTTAGTGGAATGATAGAAGTTGGTAACTGTTATAGAAAAGGAATAGGAGTAGTAAGGGACATACAACGGGCTAATTATTGGTATCGGAAGGGAAGAAATCTAAAAAAGATAAAATTATCACACGATGGTTTAGATAATGATAAATTAAAGAAAGTATTAAATGATGAAAAGTTCAAACTATCGTGGATTCCTTATGATAAATTTCAAAGTTTAAAAGAAATTGGAAAAGGTGGATTTGCGACAGTATATTATGCAGTATGGTTAGATAAAGATGAACAGTTATGGAAAAAAATCGCACTAAAATTAATTCATAATTCTAATAAGCGTAGTAAAGAATTTGTTGACGAGGTAATGTCAATTAAATAAATAATTTATGCGTATTTTTGTTATCTTTTTTTTTTTAACTCATTTAATTATAAACAGTTAAAAAAATATTGTGATATTGGGTACGAAAATCCATCGTTTTTAAAATGTTACGGAGTTTCAAGGGAACCTGTTTCAAAAGATTATATTATAGTTTTGGAATTTGCAAAGGGAGGAGCTTTGCGCGAAAATCTTTCTGAAGTTGTGAAAATGGAATGGAAAAAGAAGTTAAATCTGTTGTATTGTGTGGCTTCAGACCTTGAGTCGATTCATTCACAAGAGTTAATCCATAGAGATTTGCATTCCGGAAATATCTTGCAAGATCTTTTGCATAATGCGTATATCACAGACTTGGGGCTTTCAACGTCGTCTGAGATCAAACAGAATAGTGAAGTTCATGGAGTCATGCCGTACGTAGCACCAGAGGTCATACGAGGTCAAAAATTTACGCAAGCCGCCGATGTATATTCTTTTGGAGTTATTATGACCGAGGTATCTACTGGAAAAAAAGCATTCGACGGTGTTCCCTTTGATACTGGACTTTCTTTAAAAATTTGTGATGAAAATGAACGACCAGAATTAGGTAAAGGAACTCCAGAGTGCTATGCAAAATTAGCCAAAAGATGCATGGATTCTGATCCAAATAAACGACCAACGGCTACCACCATCAGCTCAAGATTCGTTTATTGGCTTGATGAGATGGAACAGGATGATGATAACGAGGTTAAAATACAATTCTTGGAAGCCGATACAGTAGCACCAAAAATTGTATCATCGATTCATCCGAGTCATATGTATACGAGCAAACTGATTCACACCAAAAAGATAAATGAAGCTTCAAACTTAGATGTACAGGATACTCAAGGCTTGTATCTTTCAGATCATGATATTTTAAATGATAAATTTTAATTTTTCAATTTACATGAATAAATGAGTCTTATGAGAATTAAGATAATTAAGGAAGCAAATGTTTAGTATTTTTGTTAAAGATAGTAATTAGATGCAAAATAATTCTTAATCGATAAGTCATATAGTTTTTGGGTAAAGTTTTTTTTCATGATGGAACCCACAGGCACTAATTCAAGTTATTTATAATAAAATATGATTATTTGTAGAGAAAGATCTTTATTCGATTAAAAAACCTGGCTTTGTATCCCATTCCATAATTTTTATGAAGAAAATTATAAATTGGCCGATTTTTTTTGATAATTATGTTGCTATAAAATGTTAGAAGTTATTTTTTATTCATTTATTTAAAGTTTCGGCTTATTTGGAATAACTGGTGGGTGTCGCTGCAACATCTTTGCATAAATAAAAGTCGGCAACTAGATATTTTTGATCTGTAATCGAAATTGACCACAAACTCAAAATCATTTCTGTATTTTATATGCCTTTAAACTTACCCAAATTGTGAAACCAAAAAAATTTTTTTATAGAATAATTTCTTTTTATTAAAGGAATATCAAATCATTGAATTATTCACGTTACTAGTCAACATTATTTTTTCAGCACAAATTTTTTTGATTTTTAAACATATTTTCAATTGTAATTTCAAAATATTCTTATATCTCTAAAAAATTTTATTTGTATATTTCTATTATATGGATGGTATCTATAGTTACTCTATTGATGCATCTTAACATGGTGCGGGACGGGTACTCTTACGTCAAGAAAATCACAGGATCTCGTGTAACAAAACAAAACGTGAAAATTACAAAATTTAACTATGACGACTAACTTCCGACCTCTAAGTAAAAGTTTTCAGATGAAAATTTACCCATAGGACTCAATCTTTAAAGTTAGATATATAGGTAATTTTTGAGATACTACGTACTCATATTTTTTTGGTCGGAAGTTCTGAATTTTCTTGACATAAGGGTACTCGACAGAGATAGGTGGGAGAGAACATTTTTAAAGGACAGTATATCTACGTGACGTTTATTCGTCGTTATGTTTCTACGCGCTCTGATGGCATCACAAAATATACCTACGCCTGTATGTGACCTGGCCATTTATTTATATTGGACTCCTGCAGCCGATGTTTGGAAGAGGGAACTTGCAACACTACTAGGACTCATTACAGTTGTAATCCCCTTAGATAGATTCGTTGCAAGGGAACTCTTTCTAGTATATTAGACTTAATGAGTTTCCTATATCAGTATGTGACTTGGCCATTAGATTGGACTCCTGCGGCCAATGTTTGGAAGGGATACTTGCAGCGCTTACTAGGACTCATTACAGTCGTAATCCCCTTAGATAGATTCGTTGCAGGGACTACTTCCAGAAACTCATCTTTGTCAATGTCATTCCCGTGATTTTCTTATAGTTATTGCTTACATTACTATATTTCTTAGTAGCTAAATCATTCTAACTTTTTTGCATATATGGATATTTTAAGAAGGATTTCTTCTTATTTCGGCAACACAGAGATTGAAGTCTGGTGTTATATGGGTTGTCTAGAATATTTAGCAAAAGTGTATGCGCATTTGACATCAGTGGATCATGACGAAATTCTTGACAAATAGAAGAACTATTTACTTTCAATAATTTCATCTACATCATCGCTTAAAATAGCAAAAGATAAAGCCAATAGAATGAATAATACAGTGAAACATTCATTTCAACGCATGGAAGTTACCTCATTTTTTAAAAGACTTGATACGCAGGTACATCAATTAATCACCGTTAAATTTTGTATATATATGTTCTGAATCATTTCACAATTTAGGTCAATTCTGAATTGACCTCATTCTTGAATTTTGAAACGACCTAGGTCATTTCTCAATCGGTGAAATTTTTAATAATTTAACATTATATGCCCAACTGAAAAATTATATAATCTAAGCAATAATATTAATTATATCTCTTGCATGAAAAAAATCAAATAAACTTAAATTAATAAAAAAATTCTTTAATGATTCAAATAAAAAGAAAATCGCATAACTATTCATTCAAATGGGGTCTGTGCCTTGAAAATGATCCTACGAGACATTGTTACACACGATTTTTATTAAGAAAAACATAGTAAATCTATTTTTAGAAAAAAAAATACAAGGGATAGACCCAAAATAAATAATAAAAAATTCACATAGATAATAAAAATGCGCAATACAAATAAAATAAAAGAAAAATCAATAAAAAAATGCATGTTAAAACATATAACAAAATTTCACATAATGTAAGCTTAAGAAAAATTACATCGAATTAAAAGGACAAACTTACACCACCAGGTCGTTTAATCGTATAGATTTCTTCAGTTGCACCAACGTAAATAATTTTAAAATTATGTTACCTAATACAATATTTAAATTTTGGGCTCTATAAGTTGTTGGGATTTTTGAGTACAGTTAAACATTGATTATATTAAGTTTGAATTATTAAATAGGATTGTTTTTCTTTGATGAATAAAAGTTTTAATATTGATCAAAGGTTTCACACTCCACAAGATCGTAACTTTCCATTTTTAAAAATAAATAAGAAAAAAAAGTTGTATTTATCGATAAATTTAAACATTTAGAAGCTTTATTTATTTATTTATTCTGGGATCTAAATTTTTTATTAAGCTTCAGATCAAGTGATGATCTCTTCCTGGGTATGAAGTGTGACAAATAAACACTAACTAATTTATAAATAAATTAGGTAATGCTTATTTGCCATATCTAGAGATAGGAAAATCAAGTTTGTTTGCATTTTTCATTTTGTTTTCTACATATTGATGGATTTATATCATTTGGTAAATAGAAAAACTTATTGTAAATAATTCTGATTAAATTTGCAGATTATTTGATCAGATCTAGAGCAAAACAATTTTAAATGTGGTTAAATTATTTGTAAGTTTGACCAGAATTATAAATGATGAATTAAATTAATTAAGTGATGCAATTTTGCTTTTCTTTCAAGATAATTTCTGATTGATAATTTAAGCTTTAATTATAAACTTAATTAAAATTATGCCAGCTGTCTGAATTATGATAATTACATTGCAGTATCTCATTTTTAGTCATACTAATAATTATTCATATCTAATTTTAAAGCATTAATTACTTTATTTATAGATAATAAGTAGTTAATACATATTGTTACTTAATAATTAGTTATATTTTAATTTTTAAATTTTATAGTGTTTATTAAAAATTGATTATATTATTTCTAAATTGGTAAAAAATTTATAAATAATTTAGATTAATTTAAAATTAATTTAAATTTTAAAATGATTTAAAACATATATATTTAAAAAATTTCTTTTGATAGATTTATATAAATACAATTAATAGTTTTATATATTTAAAAAAATTAATGAATACAAAGAAAATTTATATAAATTAAAATTAAAAATATAGGGTGTAGTAACTTAGTAAAATGAATAAGTTGTCAACCTCCAAATAGTAGATAGTAAGTTCAAAACTTATTAACAGTAAAAATTTAGATAATCACCTATGTAATATATAGATAGTATTATGGTGACAGTATTCTGTTGATCAGTTGGAATAAGATACCTGAACTACAGTTGCACTAGCATGACTAACAGGTCATTATGCATTTGTGCAATGCTGAAGTTATACAAAGAAATGCAAACTGATACTAGGTAGTGCAAACCCAAGATAAGTTCTTATTGTTATATAAATCTGTAAAACTGAAAAGTCAGAGTCCACTTGGAAAGATCTGAGTAAAAAGGTAATACAGATCTTTAACAGTGTTACTGTAAAGGTTAGATCTAGAAAACAAATACCAATATAGAAGAAATTAGATGAACAAAAACCTTGAGTATGAGATATCACTAATCAGACTGCTAGAAGTCTTGAACTAAAGAAAAAGGATCTTGAAAACAGACTTTAATATATTAGAAACAGGTCATAGTCTTTTTAGACTATCTAAATTGAAATTCTAAAGTTAGAAGCAGAGATATACTATAAGTACTAGGAATGTGCTATGAAGTTATACTAGGGTTTAGATAAGCTCTGCAAGGATGAGTCCTATTAATAAAAAGATTAAATATAAATAATTAGTTAACAGAGAAGCTATCTAAAGCCTTATATTCAGATAAAATACTTTGAAATATATAATGACTTGACAAATATACAGAAAGGAGATTAAGGTTAGGTTAGATAACACTTAGATGTATAAAAACTTTTGCATTATTTGTTGATATAAGTATAGGAATCAAAGTATTTAAATAGATAATCTTTTAGTAGATTGCAGATATAGCAGCTAGTATAGAACTTGCTATACAAACAGACCACTTAATATAGACAACAAAATTTGTATATATAACAAGTTGTATGCTCACCTTGTACAAGTTATATAATCATAATTAAAATACAATAAAGGCAATAGTTATTAATAATTATAGCCTTAGTAAAAGCAAAAAAAAAACTTAAAACATATATATATAATAAATTTATTAAAAATATAAATAAAAAAATAATTAATTATTTAAGCATTTTAGACAAGAAATATTAATTTTTAATAAAATAAAAATGAATATAAAATTTTTATTATTTTTTTAATAAAATGTATTTGTTTAATAATAAATATCATGTTTTTTTTTAATTTGATATATATTCAGTTTTTAAAATTGCTAGTAATAATTTTGATAATATATTAAATTAATACAAATATATAAAACATTGTAATTCTTTTATAAATAATTTTATTAATTAAAGAATAAAAGAATAATAAAAATATAAATATAAAAGAATAAACTATTTATTATTTTATTTTATAGGTACTTTTTTGAGTTTTATTTATAGTAATAAGTATTAAACAATTTATTATTCTTTTTATCTGTTTTAAAAAATATTATATAAATTAATCTATTTACTATATAAGTAAGTTGTAATAGTGGGGTGTGCTGACCTAGTGAAATGATCAGGTTTCAACTTTTTAAGTGGTAGGTTGGGTGTTCAAATCTCATTGATGGTGAAAATTTGAATAATCATCTATATAATATTCATATTATGCCAACTGTTACTAATGATTAGGTTAGAATATCTGTAATGGTGGTCATACTAGCATTACTGGCAAGTCATGGGGTTTCTGTGCAATATTGAAGTCACACAAAAGAATGCAAACTAACAAATCAGATAATACAAACACTAAATAAGTTTTTGTGTCTTGTAAATCTGTTGAAATTGAGTAACAAGAAATCTATTTAAGAAGACCTAAGTAGAAAGGTAGCTGAATCTTTGATGGCCTTACTGTAAAGGCTAGCTTGGCACATGAATACCAAGGTCTAGTACCTGGTCATAGTAGCTGAATAAGCAAAAATCTCCAGGTTGGGAGTCTTGAAGGTACTACTAATCAGGCTGCCAAAACGAACTAGAAGAAAAGGATATTAGGCCAACTCAATATACTGATGGACTGGTTGTAGTTCTACACAGGCTATCTAGATTGGAAGTTTGGTAAAAAGATAGAAAAAAAGGCAGAGGTATACTAAAGTAATAGAGTTATACTATGAAGTAGATGCTAGGATCTAAGTGAACTTTACAAGTGCACAGCAGTTTAATTGTTAAGCCCTAATCACAAATGTTGGTTCTGCCATAATGATACCTAGATCAATTGTAAAAATGTGTACAGAAGGCTCTGAAGAGTTTACCTTAAGAATAAATTAGTCCTAAGGTTGAGACGATGATCTTGGCATCTAAGATAATCCAGTGAGTTAATACAGGTTATAGGTTTAGAGAGTTTAAATTGGAACATCCAAGCAGAGGTGTTAGATACAGTAATTGGTAAAGAACCTTTGGACAGACTCCTTAAATAGGTAATATAAAAAGTTATATATGTAACCAATTGTATACTCTTCTGTAGTGGTTCATTAAATTATATTACTAATAAGTAATTAATAAAAATCAAAAAACCAAAGAGGTCATCTTAATACCAAAAAAAAAAAAGTAAGTTGTAATAGTAGATTAATTGATAATTTTCTAGTTATTTAAAGAATAATCTTAATGAAGAATAATATAATCTTCTATATTTTTTATTATAAGCAGAAATGTAAAAATATCTGTTTAAATTTTTTTTAACTAAGTTAGCAGTCTATATTAATTAATTAAAAATTGTAAAGCTTGTTAAAATGCATTTAATAGTAGTTAGATCATCTAAATTAGTCTAGTAGATACTAAGATATCATTAAAAACAATTAGTTAAGTATTTAAAATTCTATATAAACAAACTATTGTTTTATATAAAAATTTTACACAATCAGTTATTTTTTTGATAATATTGTAGAATTTATTAGACCAATTTGGATAATTTAACTAC